AATATGACAGTATATATAGATATTTCACAATAACCTTTGGCAGTGCATATGGTTATGATTGCATTATTGGCATTGTACCATGCATTTTATTAACTCATATTTCGGGAATAAAAATATGAAACTTTTATTTTGTATACTTACAATATTTTTTTCTTACTTTACTCGTTTTCCCTAATCATTTTTGGACAAGGGAGTATTTAAATAGACATGGGATCGGATAAACTTCCATTCTCCACTGGCCGGCTTGAGTGCTAGGAAGCCTACTCTCCAAGATTCATGGGGAAATTCACCTCACTTCACACAGGTTCGAGCGTCAGCAGAGGCAGAAGCGTTTGCTCTTTATGCGTCATTAGATCTAGAAAAAATATAGATAGACACCGCATTGTAATAGAGTCAACAACATCCAAGAAAAGATAATTTCCGACATCCAAGGGAGTATTTCCTGTTTTGATTTTTTTGATCAAACAATATCACTCTTTGACTACAAATTAAATATAATCTTAATAAATAAATGATAAAAAAATTTGATATATCAAAACAATATCCTAAGATGAACCTAATTATGCTGAATTTATATCATAATTAAATATACTTTTCACACAATTTGTGGTAAAAAAATTGTCACAATTTGACCAAAAAAGTCATAACAGAAAATTTTTTTAAGCCCGGAGAGAGTATAATTTTGATACAATTTTCTTAATTATAACTCATGTATCGTACACATCAAATCTTATCCTATAATAAAAAAAGTGAAAATTTCAAAAATAACACCTAAATTATCCATTTTTAAGACACATTTTTCAAACAAGAAAGGTTTTAAGGACTCGAAATAGTATGACAAATGTTCATCTTCCTTTGAAATTAAAGAATGGTCACCGCCAGTGGGCGTTGCGCAGTTGGCAAGGCAAGGAGTGCCAAGGGGGTAAGACTCAAGTTTGATTGCTGAGAACTGCGCTAGGAGGCAACTAAGCTAAGCTTAGAGCCTCTGCAAATACCATATGCACACTATACTCTTTGTCAACAATCTTCGATCAAAATTCAATTTACCTTCTCTCAGTGACCGTACAGTCGATCTAAGGTGTCCTAACACACCTTCAGCCATTCCCTTACTACTCTGCGATCAAAGCTCAATCTGTTGGTGATGTGTGCATCAAATGCATGTCCTGTGGCGAAGGCTATGTGCGGAGTGCGCCAAGTCACAATCGACTATCGGGTGCGCTTGGATGTTGAATGCACTATAAGGCTAAGGTATGCACTTCTTCTAACACCAATTGGTTTTATAAAAGTTGGTAACGCCTCAAGTCCTACAAGTGGTATTGGAGCCAATGTTATGAGTTCGATTCTAGGCGAGAACAATTACTGATGAGAAGATTGTTGGCCATGTGTGCATCAATTGTCCTACTCACTTTTTCTAACATCATTTACTCCGTAATTTTAAAAGAATTGATAGGATCTGAGGTTCTTCACCTGCATGGCATGTGGTCAAACTCCAACCATTACCCACAAACTAATACATCCAAATATGTACTTCGTATTACTCTGAATACAAGAAAGCTATCTAGTCGTGTTCCCGCGATATTTTTTCTCTTTCTGTGGCTTATATTATTTGACTACGTACGCACTCTAATGTCTCTATTATGAGCCCTTATTCCAAGCTTCTCATGATACTATCTCGTGAGTGTCCACTTTCATTTTTACATATCATCCAATACACTTTTTTAATCCATTTTATCTTGTAATTTGTATATTAAAAAATTATAGAAATTATATATTAATAATCTATATGTTAAGACAAATCAAACAAGATCACACATGACTAGATTTAGGCTTACACATTGAGAGAATTTGATGAGTCAAAGTGCTTAGATGAACAGTTCCAAAAGTCAAAAGTGGACAAAAACTGGGGGACGGAGGGAGTAGTGATTATAGTAAATAGGACTAGTAATTTTTTCAATATAAGATTTAAATTTTTTTATTCTTCTAAATATACTTAATTAGTAATTAATGTCTAGTGGTGAGAATAATGTCTAGTGATGGTAGACATTTACTTGAATTATGACTAATGAATAATGATCGATGGTCCTACATTGAGAAATTAAAATATATTGCTATATATTCAGAAAGTCATTATATTTTAATCTCATTTAGGTAAATTCCTTGAAAAATACTTCGTGTTTAGATATTTCGATCGAGGACGGAAGAGGAATGGGTAATGGTCGGATTTTGGTATATATCCAAACTCGCCTAACTTAGTTTGGATTCGGGTTTGAATTTAGCAAGTCAAATTTCAATACTTTTTTTACACTAAAAATATATATCTACTCCTCCTGTTTCAAATTGTTTGCAACATTTCAAACGACGTGTAAAATATAATTTGTTTTAAAACTATTACATTACAAATCGATAGAAAAATAAAAAATAAAAGTTACACCTTTCAAGAATAAATCAAAAGGTCTACAAAAGAAGATGCAACAAGAAAATTTTATTTTATTAAATGGTTATCTAAAACGAGTGAACAAACAAAAATTATCGAAAAGTCAAAATAGTGACTTTGACATTCTTTTTGGAAAGAAGAGAGTATTATGCAAGCGAAAAGCTAGGGGTACCACATTTGGTGTACTCTTTTTGTACATCAAAATATTCACATAGACACGTGCACACACTCAATGTTTGTACAATGCACATGCATTGAGTGTTTGTATGTATCTATGAATGCTTTGGTGTACAAATGCGATACACTAGAAGAACACCTAGCATTCTCCATTATGCAAGGGTTAAGACATTAAGATGTTAGTCGCCCCACTTAGTAATTAAGACGTTAAATCTACTCTACTCTTTTCTACTCTTTTTTACACTTAAAAAAATTATTATGTACATAGTCAGGTTAGGTTAGTACACAGTAAATTCTATGATCCAAATTCGATCTGATTCAGTTCGGTTTAAGTTTCATTTCCTCAATTCGAATTTAAATATATTTTTTCTTGGATCAAATTCAGATATTTTAAGGTTTGATCAATTTAATTAAGGTCAGATTCAGATAAGATTCCCCTAGACCCAACCTTTAACAACTTCTAATGCAATACTTTAACTCTCTCTCTCTCTCTATATATATATATAATATTTCAAAATAAATCTATTGATACTAAATTTGTACATAGTATCATAATTTAATATATTGTGTTTGTTTTCATTGATAATCGGGGAATTTACTTAAATAGCACTAAAACATAATTACTTTTTCTAAATAGCATCACATGTGTTTTTTCTAATGTAGTACCTTTTGTCATTATCCATTAGTCATTATTCAAGTTAATGTTTGCCATCACTGGACATTATTAAGTGCTATTTAGGGAAATGACTTAAGTTTTAGTGCTAATTAGTGCAAATATTTCTATAATTTCTATTTCCTCCGTCTTTCAGATCGCCACAATTTGACTTTTTGGTCAAACTGTGGCACACTTTGACCACTAAATAAACTTTGTGTTCACTATTCACATGGTCAAACTTTATTCACTTTGTTGACTTATTTTCGTTACCCATTTGATAAAATAATATAGTCATGTCAGCTCTAGTTTTGTAGATCTTTTGATATAGTTTTTTTAATATGTAATTTTTATTTTAAAATTTTACACCATTTTTCATATAAAATGATTTAAAAATGACTTCTGTGAAACATCGTAACGCGCAACGACAAGTTTATTTGTGCACAGAGGGAGTATTGTTTAACATAATTAAATATTATAAAAATTTGATATTTCAAAACCCTATTTTAAAATAAACCAAATTTTACTAGATTTATACTCCCTCCGTCCACAAATAAACTTTACGTTCACTATTCACAGGGTCAAACTTTATTCACTTTGTTGGCCTATTTTCGTCACCCATTTAATAAAATAATATAGTCATGTCACCTCTAGTTTTGTAGATCTTTTGATATAGTTTTTTAATATGTAATTTTTAATTCTACACCATTTTTCATATAAAATGATTTGAAAATAAGTTCAGTCAAACATCGTAACGCGTAATGTAAAGTTTAATTTTGGACGGAGGGAGTATTAATTATAATTAAATATATATATTTTACATAATTCGCAATGAACGGGTGTCACAGTTTAATCAAAAAGTCAAATTATGATAGTCTTTTAGAGACGAAGGAAGTATTTTTATTTCTATACTAGTTTGTATTTAAAGTTATTTAAAAAATGATGGGATTTTACACGTTTGTTTTGGGGTGTGACATCCATTATGAGATGGAGACCGAGAGTTGTCAAAATTTTAAAAGAATGAAATTGTATAGACATGACACGCGTCCCTCACTTGTTTAACTACCAGTGTACTCATCACTGCACAAGTAACACCATAGCATACCTACCCCCCGGCCCAGGAACAGAAGCCAGTTCATATATCATCTCTGTCCATGCAGGGCAGCTTCTTCTTCTTCTTTCCTATCAACGCCAGAGCATCTCCCCATGCCTATTTATTGATTCCTTCTTTTACTCTACAATATACTCCAGAAACGATTTCTTTTTTTTACTCGATCTCGTTCTGATTTGGTTTCTCCCAGAAAAGATGAAAGCTTTCATGCTGGGTGGTGGGAAATGGAGCCTCCCAAGTGTTTCGGATCTGGAGATACCCGGGTCAAGATTTCCCGGAGGGAAAGTAAACGCCGGAGATGGCTGCGGGTTTCCGGCGTTTCTCCCCAAAGAGGTTCATGACATTAAAGACCCATCTGCTCGGAGTTTGGCCCGGAGAATCCAAAGGCTTCCAGTTCCGGTCTCTCTTCTTCTTCTTCTTCTTTCTTTTTTCTTCTTCTTTTTCCAAATGCATAAAGTAAAACCCCCCTTTTTGAAATTTGTTTTCTCCTTTTCCCATTTGTTTTAACTTTAATAATGCAGCTCCGGGTAATTATACTTTCTCAAGTACTTATGGGTTTATGTCTAGTTCCAATTCAATCTTGTAATGAGACTGTCATATTATAATTAGAGTTAGAAGGATTGATTAGACATGACTTACCACTTTTGGATCTTAGGATACCGCCTTAATTTGGAATCTCTGTAGATCTAGAATTGGGGTACCAAGGTAGATCCATGGGTCTTAATTAGAGTAAACTTTTTTGTTCTTTATGTCTAGTTCTTAGAGGCCGTTTATATGTTTCTTTTGTTCATGCTACACTTGTTTCTTTGTCAATAGTTATGTATTTGAGTCGAGAGTTCTTGAAAAAACAGTCTCTACTTTTTGTAGAATACTTCAATTTTTGTGGGATTTTAGCGGTTTTTGTTGTAATGAGACTGTCCTATAGTAGAAGCATTTTTTTTTTCATATTTTGTGACATAGATTTTGTGATGGTATTGCAGTTTGGGACCTCAGAGAGCTCTATAATGAGCAGTTGTGTAAAGCCTGTTGTAAGGAGTGAGAAGGGGCCGGTTGTCCTTCTTCACGGTTTTGACAGGTATGTGCCCCATAACCTTGGGGCGAACCCACCCGAGCTGTCGGACCATCATTCTGTTGTACTTCTCTTGATGGGAAGATCTGGACGGTCCAAATCAGCTCGGGTTGGGATCCGATGCTTCTCTTTGTATGATGATGATGATGATGATCAATATGAGTTACTCTTATCAATTTCGATTGGTTTTTCATGATGAAATTAGCTCATGCTTGGAGTGGAGGTACACATATCCCCTGCTTGAGGATGCTGGCCTTGAGGCTTGGGCTATAGATATTCTTGGATGGGGATTCTCTGATTTAGGTTTCTTTTACTGTTAACCTTACTTCTACTTTCATCACTCAAAATAAGTGCCCTTTTTATGCCCCATATGCTTTTAATTTGTTTTCCCCCCTTCTTAAAGCTATTCCTAATACTTTCTTCTTGTCTTGCCATCACAGAAAGATGCCCACCCTGTGATGCTGCATCTAAAAGACACCACCTTTACCAGGTACCCTTTTTGACACATCCATCATCATCTTCTTCTTCTTCTTCTTGCTCTCTAACATTGCCCTCTCCCTCAACTCCAATGGTAGCTATGGAAGTCTTATATTAAAAGGCCTATGATTTTAGTGGGACCAAGCCTCGGTGCAGCAGTTGCCATCGACTTTGCAGTGCATTATCCAGAAGCAGTAAGAATTCTCCCATTTCAGATAAATCATATGCTCTTAGGGTGTGTTTGGTTGATAGATCTCCCATTAGCTGTGAGAATTTGGTTGATGGAAAACCTGTTTCTGGGCAGGTTCATAAACTGGTTCTGATAAACGCAAGCGTTTATGGGAAAGGTACTGAGCGCATGAGAAAGCTGCCTAGAATGGTGGCCTATGGAGGGGTAAAAGTCACCTATCGTTCAAGAAAACTCGAATTTATTTCACTAAATTTGGCAGTAAATTCTAGTTCAATACTCACAGCACGCCACTACATGAAGCTAAAGAGGCTTTCTTGTTCAGGTCTTTTTACTGAAGAGCATCCCGTTGCGGACCTATGCTATGTTACAGTGTTTTGAGGGCTTATCTCTAGCCACTACCTTGGATTGGACCAAGGTAATGCACGCCTTTGCAAAGGAGCGGTTAATAATCTTCACGCGATTTACAACTGATTCGTTTCCTATCAGGTGGCACGGCTGCATTGCCTCTTACCTTGGTGGGAAGATTGCACGGTTAGTTTTATGTTGAGTGGCGGGTATAATGTTGTTGATCAAATTAAAAAGGTAATCCAATTGTCTTTTACATGCCCCTAGCGGTCGTCTTACATAGGAGTAGCTGTAATGAGACTACTGTCCTTCTTGCAATGGTAACTGCCCTTCTTGGACAGGTGAACAAAAGAACGTTAGTCATTATGGGCATGCGCGATAAGTTAATCAGCAATGAACTTGCAATGGTGAGTTTTCTGAGATTTAATTTCCCCTTAATCCCTTGAAATGAAGTGCTACTGGCATTAGAATGCATCATCAAATTCATGTTGTTAGTGGTGAGATGAAGTGATGGTTTTGTTACCATACAGAGATTGTGCAGAGAGCTTCCAAATGCCATAAGCCATCAGATTCCAAATGGTGGACATATCCCTCATGTTGAGGAACCGCACGTCGCCGCAAAGTTGATTGTTGATTTCGCTCGAGATGGTTGCCCTTCAGAGAAGGGAGTGAGTCGCCATGTGAGCTAAATATATGAAGGTGGTGGTGGTGGTGGTGGTGGTGGTGATCCATGGTGAAACACTGCATAGCATTTTGAGCCATTCAGAGGGCATGTTGTGTTCTTCCTCTGTCTCTCTCATCCAAATCTGAACATGTATATCACATTTCATTGTCTGTGTGGTGTTTTCACTTCTCAAATGTATGTATGCATGTGTGTATGTATGTATGTATGTATGTGTGAATGCATGTATGTATGTATGTGTAATTATGTACACTGGAACTTTGATGCATATTTTAATTAGACCATGACTGTGTTTCGTTCGCCTGATCTGATCTAATTTGATCTGATTTTTTGAAGATCTGATCTGGTATGGTCTGATTTAATCTGATCTGATTGCAGTTATAATTAAAGTTGTTTCTGATTTGATCTGATCCGATTATAATAATAAGTAATAAGCAGAAAACATAAGTTGAACAAAATGTTGCCTATATTTAGACTCTATTGAGAGTCATAAGCACACGTTTTACTCTCTTCATTATTGTGGTTGACAAATAATGTGAATTATTGAACCACACATTGATAAATGGAAATGATGATTTAGAACAAACGAAAAATGAAGTGTGTAGAAATTGTTTGGTGACAGAGGACTATTATTGTGTCGAAAATCCCCATCAATAATATTAAGTCCAATAAAAAAGTAGGGAATGTGGACAAATCCTACATTATCAAAAGCTCCCAAATGTACATAAAATTTCAATGTTCGTAGGACAAAAATATAATCAATGTAAAGTTCGGAATTTATAGAATCATTATTGTACTTCATACTCCCATAAATAAATAAATGTCATGTTTTTCTTATTTGATCCTCTCAAAATAATTGACTTATTTCATTTAAGCAAAGAAATGAGTAGTTCATATTAAAGCATCCCTACTCTTTATTTAAAAATATTTATTTTATCAACCAATCAAATTTACATATGTAATTTACACCCAATATAAAAATTCTATTTTTAATCCACTCTCCCTCAACCTCCCTCATTTTCTTCTACCATTCTTCCTTGTCACCTAAACAAATCCCCTCTAACATCCTTTCCATTGGGGATGCTCTTATTTCTCTCCACTCCATAAATTTTCACAATACAATTTCATTTTTTTCTTCTCGTGGACAATTGATTTCGGACTTGGACAACTAAATCCGCACGAAGTAAATTAATACGGCATAATAACATAAATAATACCTTGGAGCAACTAAAACCAAGAGGTTAAGACAATTTTACACGGTAGGCAAAAATTTAAAAGGAAAATTTAGACGTTGGATGGAGATAAGAACTTCACACCCATATCTCTACGCAAAACTTGGCTTCTTGAAACAACGGGGGCAAGAGAAATCAGATTTTTTATATAAAAAAAAAATGCACTACGATCAAAATGGAGTGAAAATATGAAGAACAAACATGAAAGCCGGTTTTCGTATCATCTTCTATTTGGCTTCTTAGAGGACTTTTTCCCCTTCCTAATACCCAAATACGCATCATTGTCTTCCTCGTCACCACCTCTTCTTCTCTTATGGCCTCCTGATTCTTTTATTTTCTGCAGCAAAAGGTGGAAGTCACTACAGTTCATCCCCCAACTCACGGCGCCTCTATCATTTAAACTCTCAAAACACATGGAAATGAATTCTAGTTTATTGCTGGAAATGGTACTAAAAAAAGGTTTGTGAACAATGGATAATCAGCTTGACCCTAGCCATGACATAAGATGACAGCTAAATCAAGAGGAGAGAGTAACAAGTCTAATGACATGTTGATGTGGAAAGTGATTACCATTTGGGAGATTCTTTTGGCTTCGGTGACACGGTCCAAAAACACTAAAACTTCCTCCTCCGGAACAGTGTACTCCGGCAATTTCTTATCTGAGATGCAAAATATATATTACTCCTTATTAATTAGAGCCCAATAGAGACTACATACACATAAGATGGATATAGCTTCCAGATATTACACAGCAGCCATTTTCTTACCTAGGAGCTTCTCTATCTGCAAATACCACTGCAGCTCATATTGGTTTACAAGGGAAATCGCAACTCCAGATCGACCAGCTCTAGCTGTTCTTCCGACTCTGTGTATGTAATCCTGCAGCCCAATTTGGTAAAAAATAGACCCCAAAAAAAAAGAGTTATTAGCACACACATATAGGTTTTTGTCGGCAGGAATTAGAATGCAGTAACATTAATGTGTTGCCATGTTGGCATACTGGTAGTGGTAACTGTGAAACATTAAAATTTGTTAACATCAAATTGAAAGGCAGTAAATGAGTGAAAGATAGATGGAATATGAGATACTTGTGGATAAAGACTATGTCGTTATTGTTTATTGGAATTTAGAAAATCAGTTACAAGTCTCGCCCGTTCGCTGGGAGTCATCAACCAAGGAATCTAAACAAGCACAGCATTTGAGTTCGTTGGGATATCATAGTCAAGAAAGGAAAAAGAGGAATAACATTTGGGATGCAAAAACTATCATTGTCTTCCTCAAGTTTGCTCAAATTAACCAGCCCACTAAGTTAAGTTACTAGGTAGATGCTCAGTCAAAGGCCGAGTAGCAGTAATGACCTTATTTTTCATAGCAAAGTCGAACTTGCCCCAACAACGAATATGTTCTGGAAGAAGATACGGAAGATGGTGTCCTAACAAGAGAAGACGCTAGGCTAAGCAAGAGAAAAGGGTAATAATTGCTTAGTAAAAGGGGTTGCCCCAACAAAAAATGGGGTGCCTTTAGCCCCACCCTAATGAATAATGATACTAGTAAAAAATTACTTTCTGCGTATGCACTGTAGTGTGCACAATAATAACATTAGTTAATTATTTAAATGTGAAGGATGATGAGGTGTCAAAAATGAAAAGGGGGGGGGGATGAAAACGAAGGGCTAGAAGCAAGGCTCTTAAAAGATAATTAACTTGACCAAACCTAAGAAGAGTGCTAGTAATTTTTGCTTTATAAGACTAAAATACTCCGTATCGAATTTCATAAACAGTAACAGAGGTAAAGGAACAAAGGATTTAATGATTTCACACACTCATGAAGAGTAGCAGCAGACAACAATTTTATATGGAAATCGATGTTGCCAGACCTTAGAGTTTGATGGGATATCATAGTTAATAACCATATCCACAGATGGGATATCAAGTCCTCGACTTGCAACATCAGTACAAATAAGAATGTTGCACTCGCCAGCTTTGAATTTGTTCAACGCTCCAAGTCTTTTTTCCTGTCACAATTGTTCACAAATTAGTACACGTAGAGTAATTTGAATTCAAGTACACTTCAGGAAGCGTGCAAAACTTGAGTTTAGAACCGAAGCATATGTCAAATGCAATAAAGGATATATATGTAACCTGAGTCATTTGGCCACTAATTGATATGGCATTTAGACCAAGGTTTCGAAGCATCAAAGCTAAAAGACGAGTTGCATCACATGTACGCGTGAACACCATTGACGTACTGCTCGACGTCTCAGTCAGTATATAGACAAGATAGCAATCCTGTGACAATGAAGAGTATTTCAACACAATAAAAGACAAATAAGGAAAAGTACAAATGAAATTATTATGGTTCATCTCAAATCTTGGGACAACAGATGGGAGATATTCATCAATTTCAAACTTGATCGACTGGGAATTTCATAAAAAAAAAAGTCATTCAACATCTCACCATCATACTTAGTTCGCCTTACAGCACTCAAAAGCATAGTACATCACTCAGGAGTTACAAACCTTATATTTTGCAGGAAGAAATCGATACTGCTGTTTTAATGTATCAACTGTGGAATATTTTGAGGCTGCCTCAATCTGAAATTCAGTGCTAAAGAGTCAGAGTTTATGAGCAAAGCTTTAGAATGCTTATAACCGCGCTAATGGTCATCATACCTTTACAGGATTTTTAAGACAAGCCCTTTGAAGTTTACCCACCTGCACCACCCAGAATGACATGTTTATCAGCCTTCTTCACTAATGATGCAGAATTACAGAGTATATGCCATATTACTAGCAATGGTCTATGCTGAAATTGAGGATTATTACCAGGTAGTAAGAAATATATCAATCAAATATAAACCCACAAAAGATTACAAGAAATGAAGAGGATAAAGCATTATCATCATTAGCAGACCTTAGTTTCAACTATATTAGGGTTGGTTGCATGAAACTTATAGGGTCAGTTAACTGTCTAAAATTAGTTAACACTGCAAAGTCATGCAAAAAAAGTGGCAGCCAAGTGGCCTTCCTATCACAGCCTGTAATGGGGAGAGAATGGCATGAAATCTAGAATGTCGAATCCTGGCAGCAATCAGGTTTAGATCTATGAAATACGCACACTTGAAAAGAGGCAATGTGTGCATGTCGTACAGTTAAGGACATGCCCGAGAAGTGTACACTATGTTTCTTTTATTCTTTTAATGCGGGAACATGCCAAGAGTCCAAGACACTTCGGAGACACGGTTGAGTGATTAAAAGAAGATGGAGTCACTATTAATAACTTGAAAAGTGGACTGGGATGTTAAAAAAACCCAAAGGAAATTCACACACACTGTCCAATCTACCAAACTTTTGTGTCCTCTTCAATAAAAACACTACTTAACACATTGTCCCTCCATTATCTTTTAACTGTCCGGTTCGCTTTCGGTACAAAACGTTATACCAAAATATTTCCTATAATATATTAGCAAAAAATTATTTAAAAATGATATATTAAAAGTATTTTCTATACAAATATTATGGTGAAATTTTGTGTTTTAATTCATTGTATATTTTTATATATAGTTAATGAACCGTTTGGCACGGGCAGCAATCCGGGCAGTTAAAAAATGGAGGGAGTATCTATTTCTCATTCATCTCTAGCTTAATGAATTATCATAGTCAGGACACACTGACACACACACACACACACTAACTTGGTGAGTCCCTGTGATACCTTGTTTTATATGTTTAGAAAATGTTGTTTTCCACACCTGGGTCTGTGTTCATAGGTTTAGATAGTGAATAGCACCAATGTTGAAGGTAGCGTGGTACTCAAATAAAAAAGAGGCACAAGCATATTGAATGTAATGCATAGAAATCACACTAACTACAACTAGCTCTTAAGTGAGGTAAAGGAACTACTCTTCCCTGGTGTAACTTGTTACTCTGGATTTACTACTTCCATGAAGGTAACAATTTTTCTACCGAGAAAATTTTGTACAAACCTTTTTGGTCATGGTGGCAGAAAACAAATACGTCCTCCTCTCACGGGGAATATTATCCAGAATCTCATTAAGTGCTTTCTCAAAATCCTCATTCAGTAACTTGTCTGCCTCATCCAACACCTTTGGAAGAACACCCAGGCGATTCCATAAGTGCATATATAGGTGATCATAACTCCAAGAAACTCAAACAAAATGTCAGAAACAGATGCATACCAAAAACTTTATGGCGCGAAGAGAAAAGCCTTTGGTATTTGAAAGATGATCCAAAAGACGACCAGGAGTTGCCACCTGGAAAACAACTCAGCTTATTAGAAACCAATGGGTTCAGTATATCCACGGGCTAACTTGTAAATCTCACCAGTCACCATAGATACTCTGTTCTAGTCTTACCAGTTTGCCATGGTTCAAATGTAAGAAAATGTAATTGGTATCAATGTTTGAAATGGCATAGGGCGATTTGAGGCATTTTTTCATTAGTGTATATAGTGTAAGCTTCAGAGCATAATGAGGTGTAGGCCTCGGTTTAAATAAAAAAATATAAGTAAAAAATTTAGAAATAATATAAATACTAAAAATAGCATAACAAAACATTTACTCCATATTAACCTGCAACAAAGTTAATACTTAATTCCAACAACTCAACAAGTTCACAATAATGAGTTTAAATGCAACTCAACAAGTTCACAAAAATTATACTCTGTAAATAGCTAACATGACAAATGTCACCACTATAAAACTAATTAAGAAATTAGCCTTAAAACTTGCCATCACCAACACCTACCAAATCAACAGTAATAACAATGAATAAAAAAACAAGATACAACAACAACAAAGCCTTATCCCACTAATAAGAAACACGAGAAAAGATTAAAAAAAATATAAGTTCCAATTACAGTACTCTGCATACATTTATATGGAGAGGTAAAAGCAATCACCCAAAATAAACTACTCTAAATAATAAGCAAGTAATGTTGCCAAGGGTTGAGTGTCAGATTTGATCGATGGGCAAGGCTTCCATTTATGGACGCCCTCAAACGCCTCAAGGTAATTTACACACCAGGCGGATGCCTAATACACAAAACGCATTTTCAAGTCCTTTCATAGCCCTAGCATTAAGCCTCAGTGCTGCCCCTTCCAAAAATAGCCCAGAGGCACGCCTTAAGGCTTGAGGCACATTGCCTTTTGAAACACTGATGGGTATTACATGGAATCATTCTCAAAGTTTTCAATCCCACAGGATTGCAGTCAAGTATATTTATTGCTCTCAATCCCGTATGCTTTGAAGCACATATATGACATATCATGACTATGCACAATTGCACATATATGTTTGCTTGTTTGAATTACATATGTTAATACTTGGATGTTTATAATGTTTCTTTATGGTAATAAAAACGGATGTATATTACGGAGTATTTTTTATATTTGATCATGCAACTTAGAATTCACAATTCAGTACGATTCACGATAAAGAAATCAAGCCTCCCAATTCATGAGACATATGCTGATTCTATAGCCTTTCTTGTAAGTTATTTAGCCATGAAGTAAAGATGCACCCAATCGGGATGATATTAAGACAAATAAAACTGCAATACTTACAAGAATATGTGGTCGCTTTGCAAGAATAATGCCCTGTTGTACTTGATCAAGTCCCCCTACAAGCTAGATGAAAAATTTGCAAGAATTTAATTTACAATTATGAAAGGGAATATAGCACTATTTAACATTAATTTGTCCCTCTCTAGCTTTCAAGCCTCTAACCCTTCAGAGTTCGAATAAAATAATATCAAAGGAGAGCTTCATGTTTACATCATCATTAAGCTATTGTCTATTTGAAAGTGGCCTTGTGCCTTTACAAGTGTCAAACCAAAACATTGGCTCAACTGATTGGGTAGCAGTGTCTGACTAGGTACACAATTGCTGAGATATGTACTAGGGAATACTTAACAATGTGTCTACTTAAGGATGAATTTGTTATGTTGAGATTATTTAGTTCAACTGAGAGCTCACCGCTGCACACTTGACACCAATTCCAGCTCCAAGTGCTTCAAACTGCTGACAAATTTGAATGGCGAGTTCTCTTGAAGAGTAAATAAAGATAAAATTCAGACCATAAGGTTATAAAAATGAATCAAGAAAATAAAAAAAAAGTAAAATAAACCACAAACCTAGTTGGAGAAAGCACGCATGCAATGAATGGTTGTGGAGAATCTAGGAGTGCTTGCAGTATTGGAATCGCAAAAGCTCCAGTCTTTCCTGAGCCCGTCTGTGCAAGCCCAATTATATCCTTCCCTTAACAGAGACCAATTTCAAGTAAAGTATTGATTTAGAACCTCAAGAAATATTGCATATAGTAAGATCTATTAAAAATGTAGCATGGAACTGAAAAAACAAAACTAAAAACAAGATGAACCTTCAAGAGCATGAGGAATAGCCTCAGCTTGAATCTTAGAAGCAGTTTTCCAGCCCAAATTGTGGCAAGCCTCAACAAGTTGGTCACACACTCCTAATTCTTTGAATGATTTCTCTTCTTCACCTTGCTCCACCATTCTTCCTCAGTCGCTCAGACAGATCCTAGACTTTTGCTGCAGCCTCTAGTTAGGTTTGTATAGACAGAGAACAATACGAGATGCTCAGAAGAGTCAAAAGAGTTCAAATCCACCGGAGAACTGGTGCAATTACATAAATTACATAAAAAGATGCTTTGTATTTAAATACACTGTATATCCCTTTATCTCTATATGGACTAATCTCTTAATCCTATAAAATGGTTTCACATCTCTTTTTTCTTTTGTCCCAAAAAAGGGTTCTACCTTTTTGTGTCTCATATTACTTCTCTGAGCTCTCTCTCATCCATATTACTCAAAAAGACAAAGACAATACTTTTCTAAGTAATTGTGTCAGTTTCATTGTAGAAATTTTTTATGGGACGGAGGTAGTATCTAATACTACCAGTACCTTCGTCTCAAAACAAGTCTTAATACGCTATTCACATGCCAAATGTTTTCTTCTTCCTTTACTTATTTTCATTAATCATTTGTTGGAATACCATAATCATGTCATTTCTTGTTTTATTGAGTTTTTGATGTAGTTTTAAATATAGAATTTTATTTCCATATATTGAATTGAAAATGAATTTAGTCAATATTAATAACTCGTTATTCATAACAAAACATTAGTTATGAGACAAAGTAAGTATATAAAAAACTAGTATATAAATATCCTCGATCCTGAAATTTCATAAGACTTAAAGTAGATCCGGCCCAGTTTGTAAATATGCATGGGGTGCGACGGAGTTGCAAATGAGTTGTATTTCAAATAGGAGTGGGCACGGTCTGTGATACTACATGAACGTATTATGGACCATGCTTAAATGGTACGACATCGGTACAGGATTAACTCCAAAACAATTCGGAACGATTCTATGTTGAAACAAAATGGTATTATACTTTATCATGTTAAAACCGTACCAAAAAAATGAACATCCAATATCATATCCCTAAAAGCCAAATTTTGTACATAAAATGAAGATTTGAGACTTGAAGAGTGAATACAAAAGAGAAAGTTAGAAGGAGAAACTTTGGCTGGTCTTGAGAATTCAACCGCCCGGGCCGAGATAAAAAAAGGCCCTAAATATCTTATCCCTAAAAGCCTAACAAATTAACATATGTAAACTAATTATATATAAATGATAATTAACGTAATATTATTAGAAGAAAATAAATAAATGACCAAAGCTGTTTACGTTTTTGACTACCAGATAGATGTTTAGGACCCATAGCTAATGAGTTATTTCTGAAATAAAATTCAAATTCATAAATTTTTCTACTTAGTAAAATCAAATATGGAAAAGCAAGCAAATAAATTCATATATCATAAACTCATATCAATTGATTCAATTCATCATTTTTTTAGTTTTTTTCTTTTCAATTTTCAGTCTTTATATATATATATATATATATATATATATATATATATATATATATATATATATATATATATATATATATATATATATATATATATATATATATCTTAAATTCATGTCAATTTTTCAGTTTTTGTAGTTTTTCAGTTTTTTATATATATATCATAAATTCAAATCAAATAAAGAATATATGGAATCATTAATTCATTCATATTTCATAGCAATTAGCAAAGATTTCAAACTAAAAATTAATAATTAACCCTAGATTTTAAATCCAAAGAATGAAACAATGAAAGAAAGAAAATTAGAAAAAAATAACTCTCTCCCTCCACCTAAGATCTTCCCATTGCGAGTTAACTTTATTTTCAATTCCATTTGTTTGAATATAGAGGTAAAATTTAAATATAAAATCTATGTAGTACTACCTGAAAAGTTCTACAAAACTAGAAGTTACAACATTATATTATTTTATAAAACGAGTAGTAAAAATAAACAAATAAATAATGTCTGGGAAGATCTAAACAGAGTACTAAATTGGAAAGATAGTGAATGCGGAATACCTGGAGGGTGCAGCGGCGTCTCTCTACCGGCGGCGTTCTCAGAGTCGGCACTCTCTTTCCTATTCGGTTTCGGCGGTAGGCTTTTGCGTAGGAAGGGGTGGGGCGGCTAATGAGATGGGCTTTTAACATACTCCGTATTAGGCTTGGGTGGTGGGCTTCTTATATGCATACATATAATATAAAAACAAAATTGGGCCCCTTACAATAATTGGCCCGGTCCAGACAGACTGTTTGTCTCCTTATTAATATGATGTCATTTAAGATAAGTCATTATGTTTTAGTACTATTTAGATAAATTCATATTCACACTTTATATTGTTGTTATTCTACAATATTTTTATTTTAAAACTTTTCTACCACACACTTTTTATTTTATACCAAAAAAGAGATTTATTTTAATACTCCATAGTAAAAGCCAAAAGAGATTACCTTAAAATCTTAAATAAGAGTATAATATAGATAAAATATCATAATAGGAGTTCCAAGTTTTTATCCCAAAATAAGAGTTTGTATTGTGAATGTGTCACTGTATATGAACATATCATAATATTTTCTGGTAATATATATGTTTATGATTGATATTATAAATGCATTTTAATTTATATTTTGGGATTAAAATTATGCATCTCCTAATTTGATATACTTTTAATATTTTATTCCTATTTTAGTCTTTTACACTAAAACCAAAAAAAATTTCAATTTTGATTTTGTAAAGCCAAACCAAAATTTTAATGTTTATTCTGAGTATATAAATATATAAAAATGCTAGGGGAACACCAAATGTGTACCCCATTTGTCCCTTACTCCCTCCTTGTCCACAAAAAAAGACAAAAAAATCAACATAAATAAATAAATAAATAAAAACAAAATAAAAATGGGTGGTGAAAAAATGAGTGGTGTACATTTGGGGTACACCTTTGATGTACCGCTAGCATTACTCATAAATATAAACTTAACCCAACGAAGAAGAGCTTGGACTGACTCACTTAACTCAAAGTCTCAAACTGTGTCGTCGTACCGCTTGGACTCAATTGGAATGTAAAGCTTCCCAGAGAAGTCTCCCACCGTTCAACACCAAACTCAAACAAACCCCGAACCTTTTTTATTTTTTTGGTAGACATTTCCCCGCCATTTGTTGTTCATCAATCTCTACATTCTCTCGCTAGGGCTTTTTTTTGGGTTCAAATTCTTCTCCTCTCCCAACTGTCTCTCGCAGTTCCCCAAATTCCAACTCTCAGAGCTCGGATTTCGCAGCATTTCGGAGCAAAAGTCCGCTGGCAGTCAACGGCAAGCAGTTAATCGCCGAGCACACAGTTGATTTCATGTCGAGGCCGAGTACCAGCGGCGGCGGCGGCGGCGGCTGCATCCCCCGCGGCATATCCCTCTCCAACACTGTTCACTCGGAAGTAGCGTCTTGTTTGCCGTTGCCGTCTCTGCCGGTGTGCTGCGGAGCTGTTGAGCAGGAGCTGCGGTTGTCTAGCGAGCAGAGCGAGTCCAGATCGTTAAATAGGAGTGAGGTCCTGAACCAGGCTAGCCGGATCGCTGATCTGCTCCGGAACACTGACGTATCTTATCTGTAAGTTTTTGATATATCATTTTTGTGAAGTTTCAATTTCAATTCGTGTCGTTTTTTACTTGATTGGCTCCGAGTTTTGCTCAGTGAGATTTAAACTTTATCTGACCTTGCAAGCTGAAGGAAGCAAACAGTGCGCATGCATATAAGCTTGTTTCTATACTTAATTGAGATCGAGATGAAAAAGTGAATTAATAAGTTACTCTGTACATTCTTGTTACAGTTTCTAGATATATGTAGTATGTTATGAAGCAGTAATGGAACCTATTTTACTTCACTATCTCATTGCCGTAGGGAAGAACTTGTATGCAGGAATTTATCATTATAAGACTTTTTTTTCCTGAGTTTACGAATGCAAAACATTCTTATTTCCTTGTCATTTTGATGAAATGATTTCAATACGGTCTGTATTATAGGTCTTAAATGAATTCTAAAAGGATATCTTATAAACTGTTCTATGATTTTATCAATTCTATTTTAATCATTCAACTACGCAACTATCTTAGGAAAGCTGCTGGCAGTTTGGTTGAAATTAGGCTGTTTAGTGCTTACATTTTGTACTGGCATTGTGCCTGCCTTGGTTAAAAGACCTATGATGACTAAGTTAGAGAGAGAGAGAGAGAGGGGGGGGGGGAGAGGGAGAGAGAGAGTTAGAGAGAGAGAGAGAGAGCAAAGGATTTGTTTCACCTCTGAACATTGCAGCTTTGATAAATTTCTTTAATAGGGTTAAATTGAGTATTTTTCCACCATTTTGTCAATCCATCCACCTCAAAAAGTCATTTCTCTTTACAATCAAACCAAAAGTCTTAAAATTTCTGATTGGCTTTACAATTCATTGTGCTCTATTTCTTTAATGCTTTGGTAGATTATACTCCATCCATCCCACTATGTTAGCTTCATATTTTTATATTTTTCCATCCTAAAAAAATTATCTCATTCCATATCTGACAACATTTACGTGGCTCAAAATAATCCATAACTCTACAAATCAATATTAACCACAATTTTACTTTTCCTTAACTTGTGTGAATGTGTACCATCTTCCGCTGTCCCAAACATAGTGGGACGAAACAGCTATGCTATAAGTACTCATCCTTTCCATGGAGATATGACATATCACATAATGCCATCCAGTCATCCTCGCCGGATTTAGCATGTTTCTTATGCAGCATTCACCCTCACTATGCCAGGAAAGGATGAGTACTCATCTACCTGATTATATGTTTAAAGCATTGTATCATCCTTTCATATTAGATCCCTGATATAGTCAGATTTTGCATATTATTGGTTAGAGAGGCATTTTTAGAATAATAATACTATTAAAAACTTCAGCTATTAACATGTCTTGTTGATGAGCAGCTCACATTACCATGTACTCAAAGCTCTTATAGATATATTTTCTCTGACAACGGTAATAAGTGAACACACCTATACAGAAATAGAAGTATAGGACACAAATGAGAGAGAGAGAGAGAAAGTTTAAGAAGCAACAAAAAGAGTGAGGAGATTACACTATAATGGAAAACACAAACCAGAAGACAAACTTTGTATTCTATGCGCGCATCATGTCATTTGCGAACTGCAGGAATCTTCGAGCTGATGTGGCTCCTCAACAGTGTGGATTCATAGGAAATGTTGATCTCTATGATGCAGTTCTTAGATGTGATTCTGAAGCATTTGATTTCAGAGTTCCAGGTAAACAAGATCTACAACGCCAATTTCCTATTTGTTTATCCTTCCATTTTTTCATCACCAAGTAAAGTTGCATTTACTTTCAACCAACATTTTTATTTTGTGTTCCATGTCCCCAGCTTTGCTTCAGCAAACTAGGTTTAATTCAATCGAGATAAACACCTGAGATATAGTTTTTTTGTATGTTCGGTTGTGTTTGGATCTGGTACTAAATATTAAAAGATGCTGGAAATATGGAATATTATTGAAAAAGTGAATAGTTGGTCTGAAAGCAGCCAATACGTTTTCTTTGCAAGTTATTTAACTACAATGTTAGAATTTTACAAAAAATTAATGTTCAAAATGCTTATTATAATGTTTTTGTGACCATAACTTCTCTTGATACTAGTTTTACTTTTTAGATGATGCATATCTTGATTAACTCCTATGAAGTTTGAGTTAACTATGTTTTGTAGTGGCTTTATAATTTATGCATTCTTCAAGTTTCTCAGGTTCTAATGAGCCTGCAAGTGTCCATAAATCAACGGATGTTAGACCTTTTGAGAGTAGACCTATTTTTGAACATCCACATAGAGACTTTTCAGAAACTAACTATTATCAGCACGGATATGTTCACAATGTAAGTTTGCTATGGCCCGCTAGATGATAATAGATATTTCATCCTCTCTAATACTTAACAACTAACTGCAGGATGCAATTACATCTTCTAGAAAACTAAGAGGAAAGAAGAGAGCGAATGATGACGTTTTAATGCCAAGCAGTTCTAACCAAGGTTTATTTGTTTCTTATATTCTTCAAATCCTTTTTTTAGCTTTAAAGTTTCTTTTTAAAGACGACATTTCCTCGCTTTCAGATTCTGTAGTAACAGGCTTCCATAAGATGTTGGAAGACTTCTGTGGGAAGGCAGCAATAAATGATGATGATGATGATAGGGATGAAGCAGAATGGATACCATTGTCCATTGCTGATCTTAGAGGGCTTGTAAATGAAATAGTGACAGTCCGATCCAAAAAAGTGCTAAATTTGATTCAAGTAGATATTCTTGTAACAACATTGAAGGTGTTAGATCAGCAAATTCATAGAGCAGAAGGTTTATCCATTAATGAATGTGAGCATGTAAGTTCTATTACACTGTTAATCTCTATCAGTCCAATTTCTAGCGTAAAAGAGCGGTGCATCAGTACACAATTTGGATTTTAAAAAAATATAATCATGGGATTGGCTAGGAGTTGACTAACCTAATCGTGCAATCCCATAACCAAATGACCCTTATTCCCTTAATGTCTCGACTTGGCATCTACCTGGATAGTGACTCAGACATTTCTTAGGATTTTCAGCATGAGTCTACTGAAAAGGACTAGCATAAAACGATCATTCTTTTCTTCTGCCTGTCAAAACATTTAAATAAATTATTAATCATATAACTTGCTTTTTTCTCTCATGATAAGTCTAGTTAGCGTGCCCTGATAATCTTTGCTTCAAATGATTAATCTTTTCTTTTGCTGGAACAGTCCAATCTATATATATTATAAGAAGATTTTGATTCTCATATGCCATGGGAAAACAAAAATTGTACACTCCATAATTTGAATAGCTCCGACTTGACAGTTAACATGAAAAATTATTTATTGATTTATGAATTTAGCTTCATCGTGCCTTTCTCTGAGACGGGACACGTATTTTATTATCGGTGGAAGCTATTTATTCCATCTCTGCAAAGCTGAATATGTGCTAGAAGTTACTCTTATCATGTATGTTTTTTGTCCTATATGTTTTAGATTCAGCAACTTTTTCCTGCTATAAAAAATGAACTAATACCGCCATGATTAAATTAAATACATTTTGGATATCTTTCTTATTATAAATTTCTTTTTCTTACAGCCAGATTCAGAGACCGTGACATCTATTTATAGTGCATTGGAGTCTGTTCATGCATCTTTGGCAATTATGGCTTACAGTGGGA